ATGTGTTCCAGGATTGGGTTGTTATAGAGACAAGTTCGATTTGCAATATAGTGCGACTCGCACACCGTGGTGGGCGAGTTCAGGGTCAGTATAGTGTCAATTTAAAGTAACAAAATTCTTGTTTAGGGCGCCGTATTATCGAGTTCTAACGGCGTTTCGCATACAGAATAGTTGAACTAGGCGAAGTTGAATTTTGAATTGAAAGGCGAATTTGAAAGATGGAAGATGTAATTCTCTAGAACCCATTTAGCATCTACATGGAGAAATTTGAACGTGAAAGTGGAACAAACTCTCTGATTTCATAAGTACCTTTCGATTATTTCGGAGTGGTGTGACTGCTTATGACACACAGAAGCAAGTGATCTACAGAGAACTTGGAAAGAAAGCCATAGGAATGAAAATAGTCATTATCTTGTTAATGCCTGCACAGTTCTACTTAATACATAGGTGGAATGGGACACCTTCTATAGCACTATAGACATAAACTTCAAGTTCTTGAAAAGCACAACAGATTCTGCCATTTTTTCGATGACCCAATGTCGTATTAACACTGGGGAAAATAATAAATTGCTAGGATCTTTTGAGTATCACCTGATAAATCAGCATAGCGTTAATCGTCGCCATCACGAAACCGCCTACGAGTGGCACCATGGTGTAGTATGTCGTCGATACGGTCATCTGAGAACATGAATGATTACAGATTTAATTTCGTTACAACGTTTGCGGTCACACATCAACGCGCCATTTATGTGCAGCTAAGATAAAAGGATAAAGTATAGAGCGCTCGGCGTTGAACAATCCCTTAGCAACGGATCATGTATTAGACTCCGCTAAGCTTCGTAGGGGTGCACTAGGTTCATATGTGGCCTATATAATAACAAGTCAAGACCTACCGATGCATAAAAATGCTCTCAGACAGTATGTTACGAATCTACCAGCCGTGCAGGGATAGGAACTTTGTTTAGTCTGAGACACAAGATAGAACCAAAGACCATGTGTGCATCACTCTGTTTCCAAATACTGTGCTATAAATGCTCTACAATTGAAGAATTGCTGGTGATTTCAAAGTGGTCAAAGAGAAACGCCTCAGTGATGTAATTGGTAACATGTGAGCCCAAGAAAGGGTAATGGCAAATGCGAATCTGGCCTGGTGTCTAAGTTTTGCAGTTTTTGTAGTTTTTTTCAGTGTCTAAGTTCTAAGTTTTACAAATAAAAAAAAAATAAAAAATAAAATAATAAAAATAAAAAATCTAAGCAACATAGTGACTGTATTTTATATCAAACTGTGCCGTGAAAAGTAATTAAGCAAATAAAAAGTTAAACAGGACGAAGGGGAGTTTAGTTCTATTCCACGCCACTGCATACCTCACCTTCGCATTTCGGCAAGTCAAAGAAAAGTTTTCTGAATTATAACTCTGAGTATAGAACTAGCTGAGAGACAGGTAAAACGAAGGACCCGGATGGTGTGGTGATGAAGTGCGCTGCTCCCCGGTAAGGAGAACAGCGCGCGTTCGTTCCCCACCGCATACACCTGCGGTCAGGAGTTTTGCAAATATCTCAGCATTATATGCGAGTTATATTCCGTTCCGCAACATACCCTGCCATTAAAAAGAAAAAGGCAGTAAATAAGAGGGTTAAGTTTCTGAATTATTTTCTCCCAAGTCTCTAGGTCGGTCTCGGCTTCTCCCTTTTGTGAAAAAGGTGGCGAAATCAAAAAGATGGCGACCATTTGAAAGCCAAGCATGGCTGGGTTGACAGCAATTTCTCTATACGTCTATTAGCTATTATACTAATCCTTGGCTCTCAAAACAACGTCAAGGTACTTGATCCTTTAGTGGCAATACAACTTTAACATCTGGACAAACTTCTTTAAGCTGCAAATTCTCATTCTCCGTATGAGTTAAATCATGAAAGCGGATAAAAGCTTACATTTAGTACAAGTTCCTGAATAAACTGAGAGTCATCTCGAAATTTATCGACACGTCGAGAAATATAACTCATCGCTTGTGATCTCACATAAAATGAAGAGGCCAATATTGTACAGCTTAGGATGAACTGAAAATGTTTACAAAACGAATAACCATAAAGAACCAGCCTACGTAGTCCCTTAGACAAGACAAAAACAAAAACTGATTGTGGAAATAACGAGGAATTATGAACGTCCAGAAAATTGGGAACAACAGGATGCACTTCGCCAAGATGATGCCGTTGGTCGCTACTGCCGCTGTTCTTAGCCAATCACGTCCAGTACGTTCATCTTTGAAAAATATTTACCTGGGCAAGTTGATAGCAAATAGCAATGTATACTTTATAATGTTTTCGAATAAGTTTAACCGTTGTCTTCTTGGCCACAACACCATCGGCTACCAGGTGTGATGTTGAACTTAAAACAAGTTCATTAGCTTTGATTGCATTTACAATTTTGTATTCGGAGTTTCCTCTACACGGCTAAAGAAATGGCTGTTATGTTTAGTACAAAGTCTTTGTCAGTACGCCTGGTTAATTTACAATTGCTTGGTTCACAGAAAAAGTCTAGACACCCGAATGTATGATTCACTATCATATATTCTGCTCTGAACCACATTGAGGAGTGCATCCACCATGGGCGCATAGTTCACAACACTAACGTGGTTTATAAATTTCATCTCTGCAGTACACTTGCTGGAAGTGTTGAAGTGTTTGCATTTTAGGTCTATAAAATGGTAAAATACGATTTCGGAAGAGAGCATGGTAGTCAGAAATTCTTCGAAAGTAGTGCGCTGTAAATCCTTGAAGCCACCAGGCACCACGCTAGGATTCAGAAAGTGCTATTATGTTGATTAAATCGAGGGTGATGACCACTCACTGCTATATAACACTTAAAGAATCAGTGAAGAATCTTTGGTTTGTACGCATAGTTTACACATACTGTAACATTTTGGTAGGATGCGAAAAACGGAACGTCATAGACTACAAAGAAGCGCCAATACCCCAGGTAGCTGAGTATCTCCTTCATTCTAAAGCTGAAGTGGTCAGTTTTCTGAGCCCACTCGTTTTAATCGGTCGTTATTCGTTTTTTTCGCAAAACCTCAGAGAGCCTTCGTTTTGCCTTTCTGTTTCTATTACAGCAGAAGTCTTGGACGGGAAAGACAAGGTACGAGTTTCGAAACCGATGGAATAGGTTGATTTCGTGAGAGTTTTGATGGTTGTTGAGCTATCCTTACGATACTATTAGCACTAACCACACAGTGCGAAGGTTTTGTCTGGGAGTAGACATAAAACAACTTACAATTTGGAGTCTTACTTGTGTGTACAGGCTGAAATATGCAGTTAAGATCGTGCATTGCTAATACAATGCAGTACTTGAGTAAACTTATTATCGCATATAGTTAACCGACAGCTTTCTTATTCAGCTCAGTCCAAAACCAATGAGTGTCCAGAAATTTCGATTACAATACATCACATTAAACCTGTATGAAATGCCATGAGTTCGGTCTTTTTCTCGACACGTACATAGAGAACCACAAAGAAAACTCAAATATCATTCAATTCATTCGAAAGTCTTCCTATCAATCAATATTTAGACAGTTAGCTGCACAGAACACATTCAAGCTACCTGGTTCAGTGCTATATACAGAACAGACGGAAATATTGAAAAATAAGGCTGGAAGTAGCAACTGTAAAAGGGAATATCCACAGTGAAAGTACGGAAGATTGAAGTCGTGAGAAACTCCGAACTAGTTGCTTCAGTATTAAATGCGAACGTCGCCTGTTTTCATACTCTCTAGGATAAAATATCAGAAATTAAAAAAAAACATTGCTGTAACCGTTTCACTCCAATCCATTGTTTCGCGTAATGGAAAAATTGGAAGGGAAAATGAGAGAATGGACAATGCGAATCACACACGATTCATAGCGCGCGCAGGAAAAATTTAGCGTCTACCTATGGGCCCACCATAAGAAATAAGGCTTCTTTGCGAACGTGTAAGTGGTAATCGTATGTTTAGAAGACTCGAGAATCGATTATTAATGATCATTTTTGGTGATTATTAGCTATTGTTCATCTTCCTACAACAAGTCATAAAGTACAATATTGGTGGCGTGGTCGATGGATTTCTTCACTGTTTGAATAGAATTTGACTATCATGTCAAGAATTTCAGCTAAATTCAGAAATAGTATGAACATTGTGGGATCTGACTTGGCGCATATGTTGACACTACACACCATCTTGGCGTAAGAAGAATCAGAAATGGAAGCTAGTCCGCGTTAACCTTTATCGCTACAGCTCATTATTATTCGAAAAACGAAATTGGGCGGTTAGAGTAACTAGTGTCAGAATAAATCCATAATGGATAGTCCGCTTAGATTGCTTTATCGACGCAGAATAGAAGCAGAAGCATCTCAATATTTCATGAAGCCTTAATGAAGGGTGCACTTGTGCTAGAAAGAAGTAACGCGCTGAAAGACTCGGTGTTTTTAACAGCAAGAGAAAGATTTTACCCTTGAAGCGGTGACGCTGTGGATTCCAAAAGAAGGGCGCTCTCTGAATACAGTATTCAAAATACAGAGAGAAACGGAAAGAAATAATTCAAGTGAAACGGTAGAAGCCAACCGCGTGAAGATCGTTGACCTATGATGACGAAATGCTTTATACGCACGCTCTCTCGCGTGGGCACAAAACAGTAAGTGAACGACCGTTACTACCTACTTGTTATTACAAAAAACTTCTCTTATCATACTATCTTTTGAAATTTTCAGCAGAATCGAGGAGGCGAACTGCTTACATCTGCGTTAATGATCGAATGTGGAAGCTTTCTATTATGCTTGAAATACAACAAATTCATGAAAGATTCTCTAGAAACAATCCGAAATCACACAGCAACTATTGAAAACTACGTAATAGTTCACTTGAACCAAGTATTTTAGAAAGGAAATGTGTAGTATTGAAAAAGTGTAGAGTGTGTTGGCTTGAATGAGACGATGACCGCTTGCTAATTTCCACAGTAACAAAATGTCAGCCTCAGGCAACGGACCGAGAGCCGCCACAGAGGGCTGCTACGGCCCGTTGCATGCCTCGTCGCATCTCCTGGAGGTTGTCGATCGTCGTCGAGCATGGTCGGCGAGAAATGCATCCTTAAAATGTCAGCGACTTTGTGAATTGATATAAAACAGCTCGAAGATATGAACAACAGTAGCTCAGTGGTTAATAATTCATCGACTATTGATTAATTAAATCTACCAGAAGTATTAAATATATTTAAGTACTTGAAGGAATTTCATGCTATGCACTTCAGATAAACTTTTAAATATTAAAAGATGCACTATAGTCTAATTTTGTCCAATGTTATAGTTTCTTTCGTTTGAAGCACTAAGCAAGCACTCTGAGTCGCCATCATTGCTTGGCTCATCGGAATATGAATGTACGATTCATCACAGCCACGCGGATTAAGGCTTGTCAAGTTACACGGCTCATTTATTTAGATGCATAACAAACAACTATAACTACTTTTCTAAGTCCTATACTAACCTCTTTTTTTTAGTTCTAAGCTGTCTTCGAGATCGTCATAGACCGGACCAGCCAGTTCACTGAGAACTCGTCTCATTTCCTTCTAAAACGCATACATATATAATCACTATGATGCTGAGATATTTGCAAAACTTGGACTGTAGACCAGATAGGCAGGGAATAAAAAGTTAAACATTGTGATTTCGACTAGACCACAGCCTCAGCTTAACTGGGCTCAATGCTGATTTGTGCTACTCAAATCATTCCCGATAACGGGTGACTGCTGATGGCACTGTTAAGGTGAAAAAAAGGCTGGCTGAGAGGAAGGCAGATCAAGCGCCTCGGTAGCACCGTGGGTAACACGTGAGCTACCGGAAAGGGTAATCACAGTTCCGAATCTGGGCTACGTCCAGGTTCCGAAAATGTCTCAGCATCATAGTGGTTGCATTTCATATCATACCCTGCCGCGAAAAAATAATGGGCAGTGATTAATAAGTTAAACATTGTGGTTTCATATATATCTATATAAGTAACAAGTTAAGATAACTGGACTAAGAACTTATTTAATAATTTGAGTTTAACGTGGGCTGATTTCCACTCCCATACCTGGGCAGTTGGCGTGTTTAAATTATTACCGATTAATTTTCTTCCCGATATCCTACTTTGTCGTAGCGATGTTAATAACTGTTTAGTGGATAACACAGTTGAGCATCTGGAAAAGATAATCGAGAGTTCAAAGCTCATCTGAGATTGCTCATACCTGAGCATTCTTATGGTTTTTTACTATGCTTTTTTTATTTAGTTGACAGCTTATCTGGTACAGACCTCAGGTTTACGTTGACATCTCAGTTTTTTGCGTAGTTCATTTATCGCAACCTTCTTCGAATACTTTCTTTTCTTCAGTTATTTTCCCCTTTTCGTTTTTAACCTACGTCGTCGCTGACGTTTACATATCCGATGTGGGTGTTTAGGTAAAAGAAGGAACGCCTCCTATTGTGATCGTCGCTCAAACAATACTTACCCTACCTACTTCGTTTTCGCTGATCCTAGACGATTTACGCCTGATCTGAAGCCACCACATACTATAATGAGATAAGATACACCGTATTTAAAGGATATACTATCGCACCAGAATGGTATGTGTGGCGCAGTGGTTGGAGGCGCCACTGCGACATATACGTTGAATTGATCCCTTTGTCCATGGCCCACGAAGCCTTCCACCCCTCTGGGGTAGGCAAATTGGTACCTGACTTGTCTGCGAGGATACCAGCGCTGGCTCGATACATCGGCAAGCCACCGCGAATCACTGTTAAAGGCCAGATATGCATTCAATCACCGGCAAACGATGCTTAATGAAGTTGAATGCATGATGTATCCTTTTTACCAAGCTGCAAGCTTTTACCAGAACGGCTACGTCTTAAAACAGTACACATTTCACCCCCTTACTAATTGACAGCAAAGGGTGTACAAGTAACTCGTACATAATGCTGAGATATTTGCAAAACCCCGGACCGCAGGTGTATGCGGTGGGGAACCAACGCGCGCTATTGTCCTTACCGGGGAGTAGCGCACTTCACCATCACACCATCCGGGTTCTTTGTTTTGCCTGTCGCTCAGCTAGTTCTATCGATCTTTTGCCATCAGCAATTACCCGTCAACGGGATTGATCTGGGTAGCCCAAATCGGACCTGCGGTCCGGAGTTTTGCAAATATCTCAGCTTTATATACGAGTTATATTTCGCAACATACCCTGCCATTAAAAAGAAAAAGGCAGTAAATAAAAGGGTTGAGGTGTAGAAGTAGTCTGGATATTATGGCGCCATTTTTAAAATCCTCTACAAACTCAGGCGAAACGATGGACCCGCATGGTGTGGTGGTGGGCACATTACGCACCGGAAAGGTTAATAGCGTGTTCGTTCTCCACCGCAGGCACCTGTGGTCGGGGGTTTTGCAAATATCTCAGCAATGTTGTGGTTGTATTTCGTTTAGTACCCCGCGGTAAAAATTGTAGTAGGGAGAAAATGAAAAGTAAAACATTATGATTTAAAACAGCCTCAGCTTAATTGCGTTCAATGTTGATGTGGGCTCCCTAGATCAATCCCGTTGATCGGTGATTGTTTATGGCACTGATCGATTGAAATAGCTGACAGACAGATGAAACGAAGGACACGCATTGTGGTGGTGTACACGCTAGCCCCGGAGCAGACACCTGCGGTCAGGAGTTTTGCAAACATCTCAGCGTCGTTGTGATTGCGTCTCCTAGAAGAGTTGGGAAATGGAAAAGTTATTCGATACTTTTCTTCAATAAGTAGACACGAGGTTGTTATTATCGAATTTATTACGATACAATAGCTGACGTTTCCGTGGATAGTCTTCTTTAGAGCCTGGAAAGGTCTAATTGAGATGCGATCTACTTAGCCAAACACTTTCATAACCCTAGCAGATAAAACTTAACAAATAAATTTGCATTCGCGTAAGAAACAGCTTCATTTAAACACCTACCGTTTATTTGTTGTAAGTATTTAAGTTAGTTGGTGGATAGCAGCCGCACAGAGTGATATATGGGCGTGGACTGTGCCTTTGTCAGGTCACTGGATTAGCCTGAGCTATGGCGCAAGGTCACGCGTGATGGCACGAGACTCCTCCTGGCTTAACTTCAATTTTACCGACTAGGTGTTCTTTTATACGAACGGAGAGTGGTCTCCCCGTTTCGCCAACGTATTCGTCCCCGCACGCTTTACAAGAGTTCAGATAGACTGTACCCGAACTCATGCAATCATCGTCTCTACCGTTAGCGCAAATTATGCAGCTTTTCGTTATACATAGACGGTCATATAGGCGGTTGTGAACTAAACTGGCCCGCCAAATAGCCATTTCAAATGGTTACGAAGCTGTAGCTTCTCGACATAGGCATAGAGGAAAAACCGCGCCCCAGAGCGATAATTCTAGCGAAAACAAGGCTCCGTTTCTCTTGCCCTCTATTTCAAACGAAATAAGTGCAGCCATAAAACGTTGCTTAATAAGGGCGGGTCCAGAGAATTCCGTAAGAGTGATAGAAATACCACCGGACACTCTAAGACGTGGGCATCAGTTCCAGCCAGCCACTGGCGAAATTGTACATGTTCTTGTTCGAAACGCACGCTAAGAAAATTTCATCCCTCACAAGGAGATTTAAGAGATACGGAAAATATATTTCGTATGCCTACAAATAAACTACTAAAAATAGAAAAAACATGGGATACTAAAAGACTGCATGAGCGGAGTGAAAGGATAATGAAAGGATAAGGCTCTTGGCGTTGATCAATTCCAGAGGGATGCGCCATTCATTCGACTTCATTAAGCATCGTTGGAGATGATTGAATGCATACCTGGCCTTTACCTGACTCGTGGTCTACCGATGTATCGAATCAGAGCTGCTATCTTCCCAAACAAGTATGGTACCATTTTGCGACCCAGGATGGATGAAAGGCTTGGTGAACCTGTGTTGTGGCAATCGATCCCATTTGTATTCCAGAGCGTCTCCAACCACTTTGAGGTGGTGAGCAATTTTTCCACCACCACGAAATAACGAAATAACGTTTAGAACATATTCACTGCAGCATTCTCAAAAATTTGAATCAAATGTCCGAAGGATATGTTACGAATTTTAGAAAAATAAAAAAATCAGGGTCAAAAAGAATCTGCAAGATTACTCAAGTGTTTATTTTCTTTTATCTTCCAACGTGATGAACGAGACTGAGTTAACTTCTAGAGAACGAAGCTGTAAATTTCTGCAAAAAATATAGCTTGGACTTAAAAACAGAGGTTCTGCTGAATGTCCCATACATCGTCCCATACAAAGGTGCTGCTAAATGTCGANCCAGAGGGATGCGCCATTCATTCGACTTCATTAAGCATCGTTGGAGATGATTGAATGCATACCTGGCCTTTACCTGACTCGTGGTCTACCGATGTATCGAATCAGAGCTGCTATCTTCCCAAACAAGTATGGTACCATTTTGCGACCCAGGATGGATGAAAGGCTTGGTGAACCTGTGTTGTGGCAATCGATCCCATTTGTATTCCAGAGCGTCTCCAACCACTTTGAGGTGGTGAGCAATTTTTCCACCACCACGAAATAACGAAATAACGTTTAGAACATATTCACTGCAGCATTCTCAAAAATTTGAATCAAATGTCCGAAGGATATGTTACGAATTTTAGAAAAATAAAAAAATCAGGGTCAAAAAGAATCTGCAAGATTACTCAAGTGTTTATTTTCTTTTATCTTCCAACGTGATGAACGAGACTGAGTTAACTTCTAGAGAACGAAGCTGTAAATTTCTGCAAAAAATATAGCTTGGACTTAAAAACAGAGGTTCTGCTGAATGTCCCATACATCGTCCCATACAAAGGTGCTGCTAAATGTCGAACGTGAATTTATCCTTTGCACAGCTTCCCTTACCTACCTTGATGAAGGAGTTCGACCATTTCATTCGGAAGCCCACCTAAGAGTGAGCCTACCTCACGATAGACACTGGCGAAGTAATCTATTCCCTTGCCAGAAAAAGTGAAAATGAATATAATTGTAAAAATGTCGTGTTCGTCATCTTCTTTGAGCAAAACAGAGCTATCGAGCACTCCTGATCAGTGGTGGAGACGAATAGAATTTACTCTAAGCTGTTAGAGTTTTCGCCAGCAAAACTCCAGAAAATCCAGGTGTTGGTTCTCTTGTGTCATATGAGCGCTGAGACTGTAACGCCCCTAGAACATCGTTTCCCAACAAGCGGTAACAGTTTTTGAAGAAGGTTTATGAGTCAGTCAACCGAGCCATCTAGATCGCTTTGACCACGCGTACCACGTTTATCGAGTAACTGTAAAGGGCGCTAGCTTACTTCCGTTTCATGTAGTAATAAGTTGGCTATGGTTTATTCACGAACTCGATTATCCTCATGTTCTCTTCTGGTGTGTCCGTAAAAAATTCTGACCATTAATCCGGTGGTGTTCTTGTTTCGCACTTGTGCAACCATAACTGTCAGCGTATTCTGTTCAACTGTTGTCGCTAAGAAGCGCACGTGCAGAACACACCTAATTTGCCACATAATCCTGTATACAGGAGCATCTCTAAACATTGAATGTCAATGTAGTTTGAAACTATAGATTCCCTCCACCACTTTTATGATACCAGATACTCCTGCCGCAGCCCTTTCGATTGCACGCTCGATAGCATTAAGTGGTCTCAATGTTAGTGCATCAAGAGGCTGGTACAGCTGCCGCAGTGTTGCAGATAATTAGGATCAAGGTGCTAGCTTAAACCTGCATCAGGTCTACTGACCTTCGTATCTCTCCAACTTCTGAAATTTGGTACCAGACTTGTATGTAATTAGTCTACTCCCATTAAGCCACATGGGAACACCCTGCCACTATCCGGGCATTCCAAGGAAGATCGTCTCGACCAGCATTCAGCAGCATTCCTGGAAAAAACGAAAAAAATCCTTATACTGCAGCTGAACCACACGCAAAAGTTCGAAGAGCTTCATGGATGATGAATGCGAAGAAACAAATAGAATGGAAGAAATGCTGTGATGCCCGCGGTGTGATATAAAAGGATAAAAGAAAAAACTTTCGGCCTTCGTCAATCCATGAGTGATGCGCCATGCATTCCACATCACTAAGAATCGTTAGGGGTGATTAGTTGCATATGTAGCCTACAGAATAACTCATGTTGGCGTATCGATGCATTAATTCAGAGCAACTATCCTCTCAGACAGATTTGCTACTAATTTGCCGATCTTGATTGAATGGAATGCATAGCGGGCCTGGAGCTCTGAATCGAACCCGTGTGTATTGCAGTGCACCCTTAAGCATCGCGCTACACTCGCCCTTCAATGTAATATATGTGGGTAATATTTGTGATTTCAGGTCATGTAAATGAGACAAGTGGATGATTACCATCTAGCGTAAAACTCTTGAAGAGTTTTGAGTCAATTCCAGAAATTCAAAAATGAACCACTAGGAGGAGTGTCTTGTCATCACGCGTGACCTGGCGCCATACCTCAGGCGAATCCAGTGACCTGACCGGCACAGTCCCTGCCCATGTATTACTCTGTGCGGCTGCTATCCATCAAATAACTTAAATACTTACAACAAATAAATGGTAGGTGTTTAAATGAAGCTGTTTCTTATGCGAATACAAATTTATTTGCTAAGTTTTATCTGCTGGGGTTACGAAACTGTTTGGCCGGGTAGATCGCATCTCAATTTGACATTTCCAGGCTCTGAAGAAGGCGAAACCGTCGAAACGTCAGCTATTGTATCCTAATAAATTCTATAATAACAACCTCGTGTCTGCTTATTGAAGGAAAACATCGAATTATTAATCAGTGCCGAGGACAACAGAAAGTCGGTCTTAGGAAAAGTTATTGACTAGAATTTGTTCAAACCATACTGATTTAGATAAATTAATCGCCACATCAATGAGGAGTTTACCAATAATCTTAAGCGTTAGCCCTCCGAAAGGGTAATAGCGCGTTCGTTCCCCATCGGAGACATCCGCAGTTTTGCAAATATATCAACAACTCTATAAGGTTTTGAAAGTTTTGAACACGCTTGTGGGAAAATTCGGTGACCTTAGATATTTCTTGGCGAATTACCAAACTGCTTTAGCAGCAGCATCAAAACGCACGGTATGTTAGGGTTTGTATGTCAATTTCTGGCATTATACCAGACTACTTTAAGTCATTGTCGATTCATAGATGTTACCAATAACAAACACACATTCACAAAAGAGTAAAAGTCGTATGAAATGAAACGGTGAAACGATAGTGTAGCACAAATTGGTCATCTCTGTCGACCCTAACCTGATATTTCGTGTAGGTAAGCAGCCAGTCGACTCGAGATTCGTGGATTTTTGATCGGTCTATATTGTAGCGAAGTATGGCTTCGGCTGAGCACATTTCAATGTCAAGACTGATGAGGTATGGGCGAATATTTGACTGGAATAGATGCAGTTCGTGGGAGCCCCGTAACGTCTGTCAATAACGAAAACTGCAGCGATGGAAGGATCTATTTGTTGTAAAGTGGAAAACTTGAACACGTCACTCCTTTTTTGCTACTTTTCATTTAGTCTACAAGGGTTTTCTTTGAATCGGTGGCTGACGTTTCGTTGTTTTGCTTAGCACCATAGAGAATCTAGCCCTTTTCTGCGTACCTAGTTATATTAACCGACGTCGGGAGCAGTATTCATACCTGCAATTCGTCCAGTAAGTCATCGGCACTTTCCTGCAATCCGAGGGCATCAGTCGAAAATTCACACACCAGATTTACGATTGTGTTCAGCTGAACGAAATATGAAGGTTTCAATTAATGGCCGAGCAAGCAGGCACCGCTAATCAGTGAGAACGTATTTAAGGAGAAGAGCTACGTTTTTCAATTTACACTCGTTGTGTAAGCTCACACTACGATTTACGGGGTTTCCGTGACATGTGTGAATTTGTTAATAGGTATTTACATCGAGAAATCCAACAAGGTTACCCAGTGATAAAAGGAGCTCAACGTTTTATTTTGGAATTTTTGCTGAGGGTGAAAATCACGAATTGTTTCACTTTCGCTGGACTACTAGTAAAGTGACGGATCTTTCTTCGATCCACATGGTAAGGTAACTGCTAGGGTTGACAACCTGGGAACGCCGTCATATGGCTATTTCAGTAGTTCAGAGCAGGGATCTACCCACGTATTACTCATTCGAAAAAATATGATTCTCGCCTGATATCTTTTACCAGAATTTTAACGAAAAGATCTCATCGTCAGCATCGAACGAGAATTCCGTTCCAATGCAAAGAATGTACAAAGCAACTGTTGTCATCCATTACCTTGTAAATGATTGATGAAAAACCATTGAGCAACTGCAAGGAAAGTTCACTTCATACCTTGTTGCATACTGTTGCTTCAATCATGGCGATCTCAGATTTGTCTAGAATTCGGTTATCCTTGGAACATTCGGTCGATGTTTCCACTTCTGGAGAAAAATTGAATTCGGACGAGTTGGACAAGTCCTAAATCTATCAAAGATCCAATATCATTCGACAATCACATTAGTTTTCTCTTACTGTTTTTCGATGAGTAAGTGAAAAACAATGACGGAACAAAACTGAGATGGCACCATTGCTTCTTCATACAAGTTTATGTCCTTATTCATTTATTTGTTACTGAAATTTAAAGAGGTCAATCCTATGCTTAAGCTGGGGAGGAGTAGCTCTTATCTCCACTCTCTTAAGCTTAAGCTTATGTTGGAGTTCTGTTTATGAGTTCATGATATTTTATGAAAAATCAGACAACGTTCTTACGGCAGCATTACTTGACAGAGTCGTGTCGCTGGGAGTAGACAATGAGATCGACCCAAAGGAGTTGTTGAACTCGGGACTTTCACTTCGGTAATTTCGTTCACCGAAACGTCGAAACATCGCTTAAAAAAAAGCAATCGTAAATGTGTCATTAACTCATGGTTCCATTTTTACTCGTTAAGGTTAAAAGGCCTTTAGCACAAAGATCTATGAAGACTTAGTTCCAAAAAAGTTAACATCATGACTAAAATTTATAGGCGCCTACTTATACAAAGTTTAACCTAGAGTGATTTGTAATGTAGGTGGCCCGTGCTCATTTATCGTGTAGTTTTGACAACATTTTCCATTCCTTTTTCGTCCCTGTGATCATCGAACGTTTATGGTCACGGTCCACAGGTTGTACGGTGATTACTATTCAGCAATTCACAAATCGTTTGCTGTTGAGAACACAGTTTTTCGATGGACGCCAAAAACACATCCACCCATCTAAAACGTGATCGTCCCAGAGAACGCCAACATTGGCTCGAGGACTACTGTATCATTCTTGTCACACACCTGTTATAAACTCCTTTTATCCCGTGACCGGTTTAACTGTGTAACGTTTTCAATGCATATTTCTTCAGGTCTTCAAGGCGAAATATTTCTCGAACGGTTAAACTGTTATCCAGCTCAATGTTCTGCGTGTGTGTTGGTTGAGAAGACACGGGTCACACGCTCAGTGAGTTTCTGCAGGTTGTTGAACACGTAACAGCAAAGTAATTGAGTGCTAGGATAGCCTATAAGCCAAAAGGTGAGAGTGAGATTCTTGAGAACCACCCTATTCTATTTCTTCTTTAGAAAATCTTCTTTATATTATTCGATGAAAAACAAAGGCAGTCGTCCAATGTTGCTGCGCGGCTCAACCTCAAGTCCTCCTGCTGAAGTAGTTGAGCTCATTCAAGGAACGAGGCACTGATAGTAGACTTCTACGAAAGAACCTACGGTTTGAACATTACTTATTCAGCAAAAGTAATGTCGAAATTCACCCAGTTAGGAAAACAACCAGTTATGTTTTTTTAGAAGGTACTTGTATGTGCGATGGCATGATTATTGTTAAGAGCTTGTATGAGACACACAACGAGCAGCTTGAGCATTAGCTACAAATATGGTTTTGTTTGCAGCTTATCTGTAGAATTTCCGCATGTAGGGGTCGACATTTGAGCAGCAATTTTCTCTTCCAAAGCGATGTTTTCAGAGGATAGCAGAGTTGTGTGTAGTCTATGCCGTCTATTTTGAAAACTGTCCGCTTCTGTTATGTCTGCCGCCAATACCCATGCATCTCTTCGCCCTCTCATTCGCAACTTGGGCCTCATAAGGCAGACTCTATTATCGCTCCAGTGGCGATTTTAAGATATGCATCAATAGCTATGTTACGTTCCAGATCAGAACAGCTTTTCTGCCACCAAATCCATATCACGTCAGTAGGTGTATGGCGATTGGGGCTTCATTAGCAGTGGTAGCAGAACACCACAATGACGAGATTTTCGATAGACTAGACTTAACGGTAGTGTTTCCTTTCTTATTCAATGATATAAGTGAAATCTTTTCTATTCTGTCGCCGAAAAACGGGAAGAAAACAGTGATCCAATCCACTATAGAGTGACGACGGTAGTAACGGTTCTGGGTGGTGATTTTTTCTTTGTGGGAATCGATCTGAAGAGTGGATGGGGACAGAAGACGTTTCTCTCGTCTAACAACGATTTCCATCCTTTTCGATACTTTCATTAAAAAGAGTGAAATGGGCAGAAAACTGCCACACCTTACTATTCGCTTTCAGTAGATTTTCCTATAAGGCCTTAAAGTCTGTTAATAGAATGAGTTCAGTTGTAGGTCACTCCATCCAAATGTCCATAAGAGCAAAAGTTGGTGAGCGTTTGAAACATGGATTGAACGCGGAAGAGTATCGAGCGAGTCTATGGAATTTGACGTGCGTCGACGCGATTTGCACAAGAATCGGAAGCCTATGCCAACAAAGTTTAATGGAAGAATGTTCCATGCACTAGTAAGACGACTACGCGTGAATCATTCGTATTCTTATTAGTTGTCAACTAACCCAAGTGAGCACCAGTTACTCTCCAATCTTCGTTCTCAGGTTTAAAGGCTACTCAGTGAGCTTGTTTCAATCTAGTTTCGGTAATATCCTGAACAGCCCAACATCTCATCGTCTTTCACTAGTCTTATAGCTCAACACCGTTGGCAGGACTGCCACTGCGTATCAGTGGATTTATTCCAACTTGCTATAGGTTCTACAAGAGAAAAGTTCTTCTTGATATCGATAGCGAATCCTGGAATTGTTTCATTCTTGGCTAAGATTGAGCTCAGGGCGCGTGTGGCGCAGTGGTCGAAGGCGTCCTGCAACACACACGTATGGTCGATCCTCGCGCCTTTCGTTCACCTAGCCTTTCATTTCTCCGGGGTTGGAACATCGGTAACGGGCTTGTCTTGGAGGATAGCAACACTGGCCGATACATCGATAGGCAACCGTGACTCATTTTAAAGCCCAGATATGCATTCAATAACCTCCAAACGATGCTTACTGAAGTCAACTACACTGCACATCCCTCAAGGATTGATCAACGCCGAAACCTTCATCCTTTATTTTTTATTGACAGAGCTTTAGGGTAAAATTATCGAGTTCCCCCTCAGTTTTGCTTGCTATGGTGGGGTTAGGTGGACTCTGATCCAAAACGGTGGGGTGGCAAAAGTCTTACAATTCTGGACTGAAAAGAACATGGGAAAATAGATAATATGGTTGAACAATACGGACGTGGGACGACTAATTCGTTAAATAATTTGTAAGGTTGGAAAGTGATATAAATGCAATAGCAGCCTGAAGTCGAGAATTCGGAGACAACTGTTCTTTCGTGTAGGAAAACGGGTTGCATATCTTTCTCTCGCTCTCTCGATTAAACCGGCTTGAGAAGGTGAATAGATCGTTGCAAGATCTCTCACCCGTAAAATAGAAATTCAATACGCCAAGGCTTCTCGTTTCTCGTTTGAAAGGCAAAAGATCCCATAAATGGAATTGTGAGAAGAACTTTGGTCCATCCGTTTGCAAGCTTCCGTAGACAGCATTTATCAAAAGAAGTGAACAGTCGACATGAACATTGCTTGATATGGCCATTTTTGTAGACGTGAATTGGATATCAAGCACCACATAACATTCAGATGATGGCTCTTATTCAGTTTTTGGCTCTCAGTCTACCCTAACAGAGAAAGAAATGATAATAAATGGGTTACCCTCCATGAGTAAAGATTAAACCATTTAGTTTCGCCATCGAAGGTAAAACATAATTGGGCAAGTGGTCATATATAATTTGTAATATTTAAGAGTTCGTCGCTCAGGAATTGAAATGGCTAATGATATACAAGTTTGATTAACGTTAAAACGTTAGGGCCCTTGTTGGCTGAATAATATTTTTTTTGGAACTATCAAAGGCTTCAATCTATTTTTGATTACATATCTAATCGATTACATAACAACTCAGGTGCACTAAATGTAAATGGACAGAACGCACTGAGCAATGTGAAGTCGTTACGGGATGGTGGAAGGTATCTGGAAGGAAGTAGGATTGTGAAAATGCGACTGAAACGCGAATTGAATGACTGATCAATGGCGTTCTATTGTTTCAGGCGTTGAACAGAATGATCACGAGCGACGAGATCGAACGGTTGTCGACGATAAAGTCCCAGATCTATCACGCAATCTGCAGCCGACAATGGAAGTGACCCGCAGATTGTCTCATAATTGATGCATCTTGGGAAGAATGATTCAGTTCAACTTGAATCGAAACACCGTAGAAACCAAGATTCGAGCCGCTGTGATTTACAAAGAAGACACTCTGCCAACGTTGTGGCCATTAGTTTACACCCGAATAGATGCTCAGCTGCTTAAGAACAACTTTATCTACTTTTGGTGTATTGCACAAAAAAATTGAGCTGAAAGCCAAGGTGCAGATTCCTCAGTATTTTAGCACTTAGATTGCACATAAGTGCTGACTAGGTTTGCAAGAAAACGCCGCGGTACAAAAAATATGGATGATTTTCGGGCTTTCTTTATTGATAACAACTCAAAATCATTCGTTAAGTCTGGTCCTAAAAAAGAAATATAGCCATTACTTATTGTTCATAGACAGGTCTTCCTTCCACTGTGTCGTCATTCCATTCTTCTCATGTACGCCAGTACTAAAATTTGGACTGTAGGCGTTCTTGACAACGACTCTGCGTTCATAAAAGTAGCACCTTTTCTAAAAAAAAAAAAACGTAAAAGAGATCACTGTAAACCAACGTGGTAATAGCCTCATGTTAGCCAATCAGTGAAACAAAGTACATAAAAGGCGTTTCAAAGATTCTACAATACCAGCTCCCTGTTAATCTGATCTAATTTTAAACATCTTACTGTATTCGGCAACATCTTCATCGCACTTGCAAAAGTACTGATCCTTCGTTAAAACCCAATAATTTTTTGATAACTGGAGCTTTTCATAAGTTAGCTGCTCGACGGGCTTCTAGGGGAAGCTTTGCCTCGTCGTAATAACAGAGTTAATAACTTTTTAAACCACTATTTTTTTGGGCTTGTTTAACACCGATGTTTTCAAAAAAAAAACTGAGATAGGAAACAATAATAAATAATATAGGTGATTTTTCCAAGCTGTTGACGCAAATACAGTAACCTAAGCATAAATGATGCGTTATGGAACATAATCGCTTTTTGCTGGATAAAATCGCACTCAATAAATAGATCCGTTGTTCGAAATACGAGCCTTGGCGAAATAAAAGGATTTTAAAAAGTGAACAGTAAACTTCAGAACTTAAGAATTCTCTCTGAATAGAATATAATATCGTTCCATCTTGGACGTCGACTGTAGAGCAGTGGATGGAGGTGCACTGTAGTAAGCACAGGTTCGCATCCAGTGTCAGAAAATTGGTGCAAAATCTGTCTGGGATGTGGTATTATTGTCTAGATACATTGGCAGACCATCGATATTCATCGGATAGTCTAAACATGCATTCAATCACCTCAAACGATGCCTAATGAAGTCGAATGCTTGGTTCATTTCTCGAGAATTGATCGACGTCGA